AAATTCCAGGCTTACATGGATATTGGGAAGAAATTCCAGGCTTAGATGGACATTGGGAGGAATTTTCAGGCTTAGATGGACATTGGGAAGAAATTTCAGGCTTAGATGGACATTGGGAGGAATTTTCAGGCTTAGATGGGTATTGGGAAGAAATTCCAGGCTTAGATGGACATTGGGAAGAAATTCCAGGCTTAGGTGGATATTGGGAAGAAATTCCAACTTAGGTGGACATTGGGAAGAAATTTCAAGCTTAGATGGATATTGGGAAGAAATTCCAGACTTAGATGGATATTGGGAAGAAATTCCAGACTTAGATGGATATTGGGAAGAAATTCCAACTTAGATGAATATTGGGAAGAAATTCCAGGCTTAGGTGGATATTGGGAAGAAAGGTTTAGATGGATATTGGGAAGAATTCCAGGCTTAGGTGGACATTGGGAGGAATTTTCAGGCTTAGATGGACATTGGGAAGAATTCCAGGCTTAGGTGGATATTGGGAAGAAATTCCAGGCTTAAATGGACATTGGGAAGAAATTTCAAGCTTAGGTGGATATTGGGAAGAAATTCCAACTTAGATGGACATTGGGAAGAAATTCCAGGCTTAGGTGGACATTGGGAAGAAATTTCAGGCTTAGATGGATATTGAGAAGAAATTTCAGGCTTAGATGGATATTGGGAAGAAATTCCAGACTTAGATGGATATTGGGAAGAAATTTCAGGCTTAGATGGATATTGGGAAGAAATTCCAGGCTTAGGTGGACATTGTGAAGAAATTCCAGTCTTAGATGGACATTGTGAAGAAATTCCAGGCTTAGATGGACATTGGGAAGAAATTCCAACTTAGATGGACATTGGGAAGAAATTCCAACTTAGATGGACATTGGGAAGAAATTCCAGGCTTAAATGGACATTGGGAAGAAATTCTTCTCTGTGAGGGTGGGCAGGCCCTGGCACAGGCTGCCCTGAGCAGCTGTGGTTGCTCCATCCCTGGAAATGTCCAGGTTGGACGGGGCTTGGAGCAAGCTGGGATATTGAAAAGTTAAGGTCCCTTCCAACCCAAAACATTCTGGGATTCCATGGTTCTGTATTTGGACAGAATACAAAAAAAAAAAAATCCATCGAATTTTTTATTGGATTTTAAGTGTTTTAAGAAACACCCAATTTACTGGTTGGTTATTTCAGTTACTATATTGGTTTAAGGTAACAGCTTTTGTCATTTCAAGAATAACAGAATCATTGAGGTTGGAAAAGCCCTCCAAGATCATCAAATCCATCCTTAACCAAACACCCAATGCCCACTAAACCATATCACAAAGTGCCACAGGTCCAAGTGGGTTTTGAACATTTCCAGGGATCACAATTTGCTGCTTAATCTTTGCCCAAATGTGTTGCTCTGATTTTTCCTCACCACTGGACCAGCTACCAACAATTCCAGTGTGGGAGAGGACACAGTGGGACCCTCCAGCAGCAACCTCTTGTGGCTTTTTTTAGCCAATATTCTCCTTAAAGAATATTCTTTATTAAATTGTTACCTTTGAATTAAGTGGAAAGGAAATGTAATAATTAGTCAATAATTATGATTTTAACTTTTAAACTTTTCATATTTCTTTTTTATTATTGAAGACCTGAGCATTTAAGAGAACCTTAATTTATTATAATAGCTCAATTAGTTTGGAATTATTTATTCTAATGCAATTACTTTAGGAAAAATTGCCCTCTGATAAAAGAATGGAACTTTATTTTATGACTTGGCTCTGCTGTCCCATTATCCAGGCCACTTAGGTCAAGAAAGGCCTAATGAATTGAAAAAAAAAAAAAAATTATGGTAAATGTATTTCATCCAGAAAATTGCCTTCAGAATTAGTTGTCCTCTGAAACAAATCTGGAGATAAAATTAAATAAGCTGGAAACATTTTCATGCTGCTTTTATATCACACAGCAAAACCCCATATGTGATAATTCTCTTGAAAATACAATATGTTCAAAGCTTATAAAATTAAGTCAAATCTATTTTTAATTGATTTTTAAATAGTATTCAACTCAATTGTCAGGTACATTCTGATAGTTTCTGGAGGTTTGTGGGTGTTTTAAAATCCTTAAAAGATTTTTTTCTGTTCTGTCCTGTGAAGAGCTGGAATAGCTGCTGATAGAACAAAGTGCATTTTTAAGGCTGTCATATTAAAATAATCTGGTGCATTAATTCTCAAAGTTTCTTCCAAACTTAAAGACCTTAAAAAAACCTTAAACACAGAAAATGTGTCTATGAAAATCAGGCTTTTTCCTGTGTTTGTAGACCACACACTAAAAACTGTGATTATTACTGGAATAAGAATCTCTTTCCCATTTTGCTATCAAACATCATCATTTGCTTCTCCCTTTTCCTTGTTTCCTCATCTCATCAGTGGGAATATTGTTTATTTACAGAGCTGATACATTAAAAACCATGAGGAAAATGTCAATTCCCTCAGCAATTGTTGGAATTGTCTGGTACAGGGTGCAGATCTGTGCTGGTACCTGTAGGAGTGTTTGCAGTACCCAGAGAGCCTGGGAAGGTGCTCAAAGCACAGCTCAGATCAATGAACCTGCACCAGAAATTACACAGCTGTAAAACAAACTCTGTTTCAAGCACGTTTTATAAATATTTTCTATATTAACGACAATTTCCAGGTTAATAAAAAATGCCAAGTTTCCCATAATTAAACAATTTCCCTGTTTCCACAGAAGTCAGCTAAAATTACACCCTGCACACTGTGTAAATCTCTGAGATCTTCAGCTGAGATGGTGGAGGGCACAAATAACTTGGGGAAGATGGAACTGTTTTGTTCTGTGAACTGTTTGTCAGCATACAGAGTAAAAATGGTCACTTCTTCAGGTAAGCTCATCCCTTCACTTCTATAGAAGCTTCATTTCCTGTGGCTCATATCCCAGCTTTATTTGTCTTGAAAGTTAAGGCTGATATTCTTTTTTTGGGAGGGTGGGAAGTGATTTTTTAAGTGCTGAGAATGGAAATGAAAGCACATTCAGTTGTAGGTAAATGTAGCAGTGACAGTACAGCTATTTCAATTTTGGTTTTAGGGAACTCCACATGATAACCAATCTTAAATCTATTTTATTTTTGCTCTTGCAAGTACAGCTGGTGGGTTTTCCAGCTAGACAAACCTTGTGTGGACATCCCAGTGCTGGGACTCTCCTGGCCTTTGTTCCCTGGGATGATCAGCTTTATTGCCTCTGCCCAACATTGCATGGAGCTAGGCAAACATTTTCAGCTATTTTTCATGTGGAAATAGAAAAATGCTGACTGACATCCTAGGGATAGTGGGAGATTAATTAAATTTCTGGCAAGCAGCAGGCACAGCAGCTGCAGTGTCTGCTTCTGAATCTGTGGAAGCATCATCGTGGGCTTCTGTCTGTGCCTTGGCTCATCACTCAGACTCTGCTTTTGTATGCACTGTGCAAAATTAGCTGCAATACAACTTGATGTTGCATAAATCACTTTTTCTTCTCTGTTTCACCCTCAGGTTGTCAAGTTCAATGCAACAGCTGTAAAATCTCAGCAAACCCTCAGTATCACTTGGCCATGTCAGATGGGAGCATACGAAATTTTTGCAGCTACAATTGTGTCGTAGCATTTCAGGTGTGACATTCTAGGATTTCTTTTTAGCTGGAATTAACAGAATGCTAAATTGATGGTGGAAATACCCCAGGTGTAAGATAAAATGTCAAATAAAGCCTATTTCTTTGTTTTCTCACAGAATCTATTCAACAAGCCCACAGGGCTGAACTCCTCGGTGGTGCCCCTGTCTCAGGGCCAGGTCATTGTCAGCATCTCCTCGGGGACAGTGGCAGCCACTGGCACCACCTCAACCGTGTCCCCCAGCTCCACCAGCAGCCCAGCAGCAGCAGGGCTCCAGAGATTGGCTGCCCAGTGCCAGCAGGTCACCTTCACCCGTTCTGTTGTGAAAATCAAGTGTCACCACTGTAACAGATCGTTTGCCACCAAACCGGAACTGCTTGACTACAAGGTAATAAAGATCAGGGCTTTCAAAGCTCTTTCTTCACAAAATTGTTGTTTATTTGCAGGGATCTGTCAATACTGCTTTGGACCTGCTGTGGAGAGTTTTAAAACTGATTTCAAATTAATACTGATACTAACTCTATGGTCTTAAAACCAGAAAAAAAAAAGAGCTCCAAAAAAAACCCCCAAATTGCCTGTCAAAATAAACACATCCCTGTCTCTTGTACCTTTTAATCCAAGGACAAAGACCATTGGTGAGGGCTTTCTGCAAGAAATTTTGCTTTATTATAAAACTAAATGGGGAGAATCATCTGCCAGTGCTCTGTTGCTGATTTCTAAGGGTATAAATACTCTTCTGCGTTTCTATTAACAATTTAAATGTATTATCTGGGATGTGACTCACTCAAACACTGAAACCAAAACATTCTGGCTGTGTTGCAGGGTAAAATGTTCCAGTTCTGTGGGAAGATCTGCTGTGATGAATATAAGAAGAAGGGCAATATGATGGCTTTGTGTGAATACTGCAGGTTTGAGAAAATTATCAAGGAGACAGTGAGAGTCTCAGGCGTAGATAAAACATTCTGCAGTGAAGGTAAGAAAGGGCAAAACCTTGCCTCAAAGAAATCAAGTCACAAGTGTTTTTGCCTAAAAATTATCAGTAATAGTACAATAAATTAATATTTTTAAGTTAGGAGTCTGTTTTTTAGGTTTAGGAACCCAGAACCCTGTTCATATTTTACAATTTTTATGGTATGTTTCAATGAATTACTACAGACATCACTTAGTACAGGAATTAGGAGTGCTGAGAGATTTTCATATTGGTATTAAAGAATATTTTTGCTGTTTTCTTTTAGTCTGTAAACTGCTCTATAAACACGACTTGTCCAAGCGCTGGGGAAACCACTGTAAAATGTGCAGTTACTGTTTACAAACCTCCCCCAAACTGCTCCAGAATCACTTTGGGGGGAAAACAGAGGAGTTTTGCTCAGAGGAGTGCATGTCTAAATTCACTGCTTTGTTTTACCAGGTAAGCTATATTCTCACATCCTCTAGGTTTTTCTACCTCTACCCCTTGTTGGTGTTTCCAGATGTGCTCAATTTCTCCCTCCCTCTGTTTTCCTAGATGGCAAAGTGTGATGGTTGTAAGAGACAAGGTAAACTCAACGAGTCCATAAAATGGCAAGGGGAGATGAAGCATTTTTGCAATCTGCTTTGTATTCTGTTGTTCTGTAAACAGCAAAGTGCTCCTGACCCTCCACTCCCAAACAACACAGGTAAGGCAGCCTGAGGATGGTGTTGCTTTTTTGGTGTGTGGGGCAGTGAGATGGATGTTTATCTGCAAATTCACTTCAGTGAACTCTCGAAGATCTGTCTTCTCCTGGGGAGCTTTTCTGTTGCTGTTGAGTGGGCTCTGGTTTAGATCAACTCTTACTTTGGACCATTTCAAACTTCTGTAGGTGTGAAATGCAATTGCTTTGGGTACCAAACAAATTTTAAAGAAGATGAAGCAAAACACTTGCTTTCATGAAACAAAAACCTGCTTCACTGGGGTAAAATCTACTGCCCTTTCATTCCCATCTCACACATGTTAAATATCTAGCTTGTCTTCATAACACCAAGAAGATATGGTAGAATGTTAATATTCTTTTAACAATCAAGTGGTGAAATTAGTAGACTTCATGGTTTAAATACAGACTTAAACCAGCCACTTCTGTACAGTCTGTAGGCATATGAAGATTTCCCATTTCATGAAACAAAAAACTGTTTCATTGGGGTAAAATCTACTGATATTTAGTGCAGACATGTTAAATATCTAGCTTGTCTTCATCACACCAAGAAGATATGATAGAATGTTAATATTCTTTTAACAATCAAGTGGTGAAATTAGTAGACTTCATGGTTTAAATACAGAGTCCTATATATGCACATGCAGTCTGTAGGCATATGAAGATTTCCCATTTCATGAAACAAAAAACTGTTTCATTGGGGTAAAATCTACTGATATTTAGTGCAAACATGTTAAATATCTAGCTTGTCTCCATAACACCAAGAAGATATGATAGAATGTTAATATTCTTTTAACAATGAAATTAGTAGACTTAATGGTTTTTACAGACTCCTATATATGCACTTCAACCAGCCACTTCTGTGCAGTCTGTAGGCATATGAAGGCTTCCCATTTCTGTGTAATTTAGTGTTTATTCTTGGGAATTATCAATCCCAAGGTGTACAAGTGCTGTAGCTGTTTCCTTGAGCAGGGGGAATGGGAATGAGGGTAGGAATGAAACCCACAGGAACAGGAATTATGAGTTTCTGTGGAGACACAAAGAGATGAAAGGCCCTCAAAGACAGGAAGGAAAAGGGAAAGGAAAAGCAGGAATATCACTGATCCTAAAGAAGGGCATCATTTCCCACTGAGTGGCTGCAAGAGTAGGATACCCAAAACCAATAAAATATGAACTGTCAGTTTTTAAGCCATGGTGCACATTGTTTCAATTCAGTGCAATCTGCTGCTTGCATTGGTGGCAGCTCTTTTCCCTTCTTGCTTGATTTGCTTGTGGAAGTAGCTCCTGTTTAAACTGAAATGCTGCAACCTCACACCTCCATCCCCTTCTCACACAGCAGCCTCTTGCATCTGGAGACAGATCTCAAGGGTGGGTGTTGTTTTCAGAAATGCTTTTTTTTCTCAATTATCTTACTGCTTCTTCTCATTTTCTTCTGTCCACTGTGTCCAGCAAACCTTTCCATGGCACCAGCCTCCTCCTCAGGCCCTCCTTCTTTAAGAAAGGACTCAACCCCTGTCATAGCAAACGTGGTGTCCCTTGCAAGCACCCCAGCTGCCCAGCCTACTGTTAACTCCAACAATGTTTTACAGGGTAAGGCAGCTGAATACCATGCCTGTACTTTTACATCTCTACTCCTGAACATTTATATTTGCTCAGGGATTTTACTGAGAACAGCGGCCACCTCTTCATTGTGCTTCACATCACTGCAGATGATTGCTTTTGTCCTTCCTTTATCTAGGGATAAATAATGACTTAAATTTATGTACATACATCAGGGAATGAGTTTTAATTGGAATTCTTTTTTTTTTTTTTTTGACCTTGGCAGAATATGGATTATTGTTCTTGATGAGAAGTAGACATGTTATTGTATGGTTTTTTTCCTTCACAGGTGCAGTCCCTACTGTGACAGCAAAAACAATAGGAGATGTAAGTTTTACAAGACTTTTTTCACTTTTCAGACTGTATAAATAACAAATAAAATATCCAAGACTTTGGCACTATCATTTTGTAACTAAAATTCATCCAGCTTGTGGATGCTTTAAAAAAATGGATGGAACTTAGATGGTACAAAAGTCTTGTGTCCACTGACAGATTGGATGTTTTAAAGCAAAATTTAAGACTGTAGCTCTTGGGATTGTAGCTCAGATTGTAGCTCTTGAGGTGTCTGTGGTTCCCAAGTAATTCATGTGTGGTTTCTGCACTTGAGGCTGCCTTTTGTGCTCAGTAATGGGATAGAATAGCAAAAGGACCAGCCTGGGCTGCTGGGACTGGCATGACCAAGCTCCTGCAGCTTCATTTTCCTTCCCCACCCCCTGGCAGTGTGGTGACAGAGCTGTGGGCAGCCACTGTCACCACTTATCTGGGGATAACTCAGAGAGTCCCAATCCCTGAGCTCTTTGAGGTGTGTGCTGTAACATCCTGCAAACTCTCCTAAAATCAGAGATGCTTTTATGTAGCTTTAGTTTCTGGAAGACTGACAGCTTTGCTTTCAACTGGAGTGTCATTTATGAATTAGAGTATGAGTTTTCCCTCTTGAAACAGATCCTGTTATTTGAATGCATGACTGCAAATTACAGTTAGCAGGACATTAGTACAAGCATGAATAGTCAGTCTGTGTATCAGGAAATGATACTGCTGCTGCCAGCATTGCTGTTCCTTTTTTACATTTATTTGTTTTCAGTGCTTTCACATTAGTTTAGTCAATTTTATCGGTGTCTGTATCAGGCAGACTTTTAGTCATCAAAAGTATCTTAACATAATTCCTCTTTATATCTCTGCCCTAGTCATCAAAAGTATCTTAACATAATTCCTCTTTATATCTCTGCCATCAGTAAAATTCCAAGGTCAAAAGTTTATAGCAGTTATTTGACGACAGAAACCAAATATTCTTGCAGATTTGTTCACTGCACTGTTAACAAAATAAGCTTTATTAGCAAAATTAGCTTTAAACAGCATTATTGTTGAATCAAATTAAATTCAGATGGAGACCAGAAAGCACCAAATAAGCAAGCTTATTTTGCAGTAGTTTTTAAATGATCATTTTTATCAGCAAAAACAGTTTTAAATTGTTCAGCTTCCCCTAATATAGAACAAACTCTAGTCTTCTGTTATCTTTCAAACCAATACTGACTCGACCCTTATTTGTGTTTTCCAAACAGGCAAGTACCCAGACAGATGCCCTAAAGCTCCCATCATCAAAACCACCCAGGCTTCTGAAAAACAAAGCTTTATTGTGTAAGCCAATCACCCAGACTAAGGCCACCTCCTGCAAACCTCACACACAAAACAAAGAATGCCAGACAGGTGGGTGTGTGATCTCCTACCCCTGCTGGAATTGTCTGTACTGCAGTTGAGAGAGAATACATGATTTATTTAACAGAGAGTATTTTTGAATGTATTATTAAACCTTAACTAGTTTTCAGTTTGTTGTATGGTATTTTCCAACATTTTTTGGTGTGTTTTTGTTATAACAGAAGGAGAAGAAGCTCCTGCTCAGCCCCAGATCATTGTGGTACCTGTTCCTGTTCCAGTGTTTGTGCCAGTGCCCCTCCACCTCTACACCCAGTACACACCAGTTCCCCTGGGAATGCCAATACCTGTAAGTTATGCTGCAGTTCTGTG